TGGAATTTTATATTCTTTAGCCAGTGAGCAGTGTCAGGACCAGAAAAACAAAACAAAACAAAAACGTTAACTGAATTCAAAACCACTTCAGTTGATGTTCTTAATACCATTTGAGCTTCACCACTTCCTTAAGGTTAAGTCCCATCTACCCTCCCAAAGAGCTCTTCTACTCTACTTATCTGTTATATCACCTCCTCCAAAGCCTGTAGCCTCAAAAGCTAGGAGTTATTTTTGATTTATCTGCTTCCTTCACTTCCCTTATCAGGCACAGTGTCATAGATGACTGTACTAGAGTTGAAGGAGGCCTTCAAAATTAGCTTTCAGCCATTGCCAAGTGGTTCCCTCATCTCTGCTGAGTAACTTCTAACATCAAGGATGTCTCCCTCCTAACAAGATATCTCCATCTATTATTTGAATAGCTGACACTGTTAGAAAGCCTATCATGTATTCATCAAAATCTGGTTCTCTGGAATCCACTCTCATTGGTTAGAGTTCTTTCCTCTGTGATGATAAAGAGTAAGTTAAGTTGTAATTCTCTTATGGTATTACAGCCCTCCACATAGAGAAGGCAGCAAGCATCATGCAGCATTTACGTGATTTATCTTCTTGTTCCCTGGGATAAATATCCCCAGTTCCTGTCACTGTTCTTTATATAACATGGTTTCCAGACTTTCCATCATCCTGAGAGTGCTCATACTTTTCCAGAATTTTATCTCAAACCCCCTAAAACACAGTATCCAGTGTTAAAGAAAATACTATAGATACAGTTTTACAGTGCAGAGTTTAGGAGAGATGAGATGTAACACTTAGCCTGTGACTGGGTCTGCCTTTGTCACCCAGGGACTCATCTGTGCTTGCTATAACCTAAAAAGCCCAAGTTCATTTGAAAAAGCTGTTAGAATAGACCTCTTAAGTTATGTTTGTGCAGTTATTTTTTGAGCCTAAATATAATTACTTGTGTTTATTTCTTCATTAGAGGCCCAGTGCAAGAATTTGTGCACGAATGGGGCCCCTAGGCTTAGCTGGTGATTGGGGCTGGCCGGGGGGAGGAACTGCGGGAGGTTGGTCAGCCGGGACCATAGGAGGTTGGCCGGCTGCAGGAGGTTGGCTGTGGGAGTGCACTGACCACCAGGGGGCAGCTCCTGCATTGAACATCTGCCCCCTGGTGGTCAGTGCATCTCATAGTGATTGGTCGACCAGTCCTTCCAGTCGTCTGGTCATTTGGTCATAATGGTCACGTAGGCTTTTATATATATAGATACTGTATGCCTATAGTAAAGGAAGCTAGAGAAAAGAAAATTATTAAAATCATAAGGAAGAGAAAATATGGTTATAGTATTTTGAAAAAAATCCACATGTAAGTGGACCTGTGCAGTTCAAATCCATGTTGCTCAAAGGTCAACTGTATTTTGAGGAAAATTATACAATTTCTGGGTATAATTTGGAATTTTGATGAAAACTCACGAGGATTGATAAAATTGATAGTATTTTCTTACAATAACTGACCTAAAAGCACCAGAGGAAGCACAACAAGGACAGATCCACAATCGCTAGTAACTGTGGCCCAATCGCTGCCTGTACCAAATGGGAAGCCCAAGTTCATGAGTGGAAAGAGCTAAAGGTTCAGGGGAAGTGAAAGTAGCTTGCTGACACCTAGAAAAGGGCAAAGAGGACCAGAGGCTCTGGA